CCTTAACTTGCCCAGGCCCTCTCATTTCTCATTTTGGGGCATCATCTCTGTTTTAGATATGCTGTACTGTGTCAATGCCTGTCATTTTAAGACTTTTGCAGTCACCCACCTCAATTAGTTTGATTAAATTGAGAGCAGATTATATCTGCTTTTCCATTTCAGGTTGTTCATCATTTTGTACCCCAGGATGTGCGCAGGGAAATGTTTGTGAAATATTCTTTGACGATAGAAAAATGATCTTCTTTGTTCCAAAAAAAGAAATACAGCAGGCTATGAAAAATGAAAAATTCTGCATGAAGCTTCATTTTTAGAAAACTGACTACACAAATGAAGGCTCAAAAGATGTGAGCTTAGCATGTACAAGGATGCAACCAGCCTTATAGATGTAGTGTTTGCACTGATGACGCTAATACCTATTTACCACTTTTCATTTTTCAAGGAAATTAGTTTTAATTTCGAACCTAGCCAAGATAAGCGTATGGAAAGTTTTTTTTTTTCTTAATCAAGCTTTGTTAATCACCAAAACCAAGGTAATAAAACAAATGTAAAAAAACAGATTAGAGAAGAAATTGCGGCAACTTTTTTAGTGGGGCAATATTTTCAGAAATCAGGGTAAGTGAAGAAGGAATTCTCATACGCCTTGGCTTAGAAAAACGTCGTTAGGTTTTAAAAATGGTTGTTGTTGAGGGTCGGTTCCCTTGATCAAAGATTCTTCAGAGTACCAAACGGTTTGATGCTAACTGTTATACCCCATGGAGTCTTACACAACATATCCTCCAAAGCTAACCGCTGATCGCTTACGTGAGCTCATGGGAGACTCACGAGGAAGGAGTAAGGAATTAAAGCTATCTACGTTGCATAATGAAAATTATGAACCAAAACCCAGATCTTCAAGACTGAATGGTGTTTGTTGCTGCAAGAAAACGTTTTAAATTAATGTTTCGTGGTCTGTCATCGCCAGCTTCATGTAAAAGCCATGTGAAATGATAGACGGAGGCGGAACTTTGGACCTTGCAGGTGAGGTGATCGTGTCAAGTATTCGTTCAATCGTTCAGAAAGGTTGCATGTTGACTTCGCCGTAGTGATTAGCTTACGTTAAGGAGCTGTAGTTGCTTTAAAGAGAGGATTTTTTTGCGGCTTGTAATCGAATACCTTTAGCCAAGTCAAAGAATAAATACGCTCTTATTTTATGCATGCAATGAGAACATACTTTGCAATTTTTAAATTTCGTTGCCAACAACTGCGCATTTGGAACTACTAGTTTATTTGAAATTCAATCAAACAGTGCAGCAGTTATTTAATTAAAGTTCATTTGCAATTGCTAATGTTTGCTTTCTTGATGGAAATAAGTTTGCATTTTTTAAGCATTACAACTATTTCTAGACAAACCCGTCGTAGAATATCAACTTACTTATGCAAATATTACCTTGTCGACTGGGAAACAGTGATGTTGAGAAGCGATGGTGTGAAACATGTTTTGATTATGACGACACAAGAGATCTTATCACATTTCATTTTAAACTTTCACATTTCTTCAGGTTAAAATGATCTTTCAGGAATTAAAAATGTGTCACAATACCTTTGAAATATGTTTCAAGAGCAGTGAAATCTGATTTAAACATCTCTAATTTATCGGAATTCCTGGAAGAAAACACTTTATTGTGTCAGAATTATAGCGTGTAATTATGCTTGGAAAGTATTTAGAGGAATTTGAGTATTTTGCTTTTGTTTTTTTTTTGCAGTACATTGTGTTATTTTATTATTTTTTTTTTTAAAGCTTTTTCTTTAGTTGTATTTTTTTGGTGTCATATTATTTTCAAGTTTAGTCTTATCAGTTTTGATATTTTTTGATAAATTGATACAGTTTTGTGAGGGTTTGGTGCTTCTGGTTAACCTTTTAACACTCAAGAGTGACAAGCATCTAATTTTTCCATACAATATCACCCCTGAATCATACAGTAAGGTCATAAGAAAAAAGAAAATTATAAGCAGCTAAAGAAGCTGTTGATTGTAACACGAATTCCCCTAGTCAACATCTGAGGGGAATGTATAGAGAACAGTAGGGAGAAAACCTCTTCTGATGTTAGGGTGCAAAGGGTTAAGTTCATTGTTTTAAAAATGCTTAGCTTTCACAGTGTCTTATTCTATCCAGGAGGGGTTCCCAAGGGAATAATTGGCAATCCTGAACTCAGGGAAACTTGAAAAAATTGTTACAGTTCCTAGTGAAAAGCACAAGCCAGTGAGAGCATCTTGGCCTTCAAGACAAAACCCTTTACACCCTTACATCACCACGCATGATGTCTATAATAATAATTAATGATAATTTATTGACTTGTATTACACAATTATCAATATATTAACAATGTTTAAAATTCAACTATGTTAAGATGTTAAAGCTAAAAATAAAAATTTTGACTGGGAAGATGTACATGTAGAAACACAAAAATTACATGCAAATAAATAGAGAGCTTTTGCAACTAAAAAAGTCACCTTAGCTTTCTTAGACTGGTTTAAAGATTCAATATTTCAGATAGAACACAGAAGATTGTTCCACAATTAAGGAGCAGCTATATGAAAAGAATGATCGCTGAATGACGGTCTATAATTCCTCTAGTACTTCCCTTATGGTACTGGCAATCATTTGTAATATTCTTATCACATTAATGTTTGATTCAGGATTGATATTGTTACTTGTAGGGAAAATAAGATGCCATTCTCTTTCAGAGGCCAAAATTTTTTCACCTTGTTTTACATTTACTTCATAAAAAGCTCTTGTTTTTCCATGCAAGTCTGGTCTTTTCCCAACATCAAACCTGTACACAAAGGGTACTTGAATTCAAGGACTCTTTTGGAGAAAACTTAAGTGGGATGGGGTTTGTGTGTGTCTTGATTTAGTCTACAGCTAAAGTGTCTGTGAAATATGTTTTCAGAATGGCCAGTGCCTTTGTTCCTGTGGACTTAGACAAACTTTTAGATGAATTTGAGGAAAAGGAGCAAGGTTAGAGTTGTGTCTTTGTTTTGTAAAATGTGAAGGGTACTTAAAGAACAAAAACATTCCTCTTGAAATAATCTGTGAACCAATGTTCTTTTGTGTTAATCTGTTTTTCTCTATTTTTGGATGGAATTACAGCATGGAAGGTCAAAAGCAGGCCAATATTTTTTTAATTTATATTCAAAAAGCTACATGTACCTCAGCCCAAAATTACTTGATGTTCACACATATACACTTATCGTCCCTAATCATACAATGAATGAGTTATTTTAAAAAGCTGAAGTAGTTTTTGAATATTATCATTGGAGATGTTGTGAAACATACTGAAAGGTTAAAAGTAAGTTATATAATTCAAGTATGAAACTGCTTAAGAATAAGTAACATTATTATTTGGTTTTGTTAATGGTGATATTTTGCAGAAAGGTTCTTTCTTTCTTTATTGCTATTTTTGTTTTTAAATGTCTGGTGAAAAAAAGGCTTGAATTATTGAGATTATTGAACATTATTTGTTACTGATTAACCCCTTCACTTCCAAGACCTCATTAGTAATTCTCCTTACAGTCTGCTGTACAACTCTAATCATTTTACATCGGAGAATTTGGTATTGGATCACCTATCCCAAATTGATATTTTTCTTGATTCTCATCTCTTGTCTGCTTGATGTTGTTTTGATATTGTAGGGATAATTTCTGTCTTGGTCACCCATGGGAGTAAAAGTGCTAATGTTTATGATGCTTTCAATTATGATATTTAGAACCAAAACCAGATCAAACCAGTGTAGTCAAAGTGCCAACTGTTGACAGAAAGCGAATAGCTACACAAAGTTTCCAGTCACCATTCCCTTCAATCCAGGAAGAGGTATTGTCTGATCAGGAATCTGAAAAATATCCTGATGACAGCAAGAATGACATTGATGATGACAGTGATGATAGTAGTAGTATTAATGGACTGATTAAAGCAGCTGAAGCTATAACTGATCAAAATGTGGCTGGAAAGACTTTAAGAGATGAACTAGAAGAACTGGAGGAAAGTGTGGTTTACATGCCTATTGATAATACTTGGCACGAAAATGCACAGAACTCTTCTGAGAGTGTCCACTCTGCTGGGCAGTTTGACTTGAATGGTGTGGAGGACACACACTACAATGCTAGTTCACGTGATAATGAAGAGAGCTTAATGACAACTCTAGCAAGCAATGAAGGAGTATCTGATGGCCAGGAAGCAAGTAGTAATAATTTTGATCATAAAGACGAACAAATAAGTAACAATGATGAGTCAGCTTTAGACTCTGCAGTGGCAGCAAATGGTGTTGCTGAACATATGCAAGATGTAGAATCTATGGGCTGGATTGAAGATACATCCAGAGACAACTCAGAACAGCCTGGAAATGATGAGGCTAGCCAGTGTGTTGTTAATGAATTTGTTGTTTCAGAACAACGAGAAACTCATGAACAATTTATGAACAGCACTGTTTTGCATCCCCAAGATGGTGGTATGTCTGTCGATGATGTAAATTTAACATCTTATGACCAAGTGCAAAGTGAAAATCTTCTTGAACCTGGATTGTCCATTGTGCCAGTAGTTGATGCAAATTTTGAAACTTACCCTTCAGATTCTGATCAAAGTCATAATGTAGGAACACAGGATTTTTATACACAGAATGAGAATGCAGATTCTGGCACCTCTTTTCAAACTGAGCCTTCAATGACAAATTCATATAATTTTAATTCAGAACAGGAGAGTTTTGACACAGGCAATCAGCCTGCTCAAGTTGAACATGAAGAAGGTGCACAGTCTCCTGTATTAACCATGTCATTACAGTCTCACGGAGCAGTAGAGGCTCGCCGCATCACCTCAGGAGAAGCTTGTCTTGGTAGAGTGCCACCCCTATGGGTGCCTGACTCTGTGGCTACTCACTGTATGAACTGTGGGTTGAAATTTAGTGTTCTGAAGAGGAGACATCACTGCAGAGCTTGTGGAAAGGTACTGTAGCTCACAATACACTCTTATTTTTATGCTGGATAGGAATTTAGAGGAAATCTATTTGTATATATTGGCACATACATGTAATAGTTGATCATTCAAGGTACTCAAAGTGTTACTAACCCTTGAAGTTCCATGAGTGATTGGCTTTAAACTTCTCCCTATAGTATTCATACATTATTTAGCAAACAGGTAATGAGAATACTCAAACTTATCAGGTAGAAGTTATTTTCTTGATCTAATACCAAATTCTTGTAACGTATTTACCAGGAAATATTAGCAGCTAGAGGGGGAATTAACATTAAGATCTTAAGAGATAAAGAGTTAACCAGTGTCAAAAAATTACTTCTTTGGTAATATACAACAGAAAGATATAAAACTTTTTTGTATCTTGATATTGGCTATTTGAGGTAAGAAAAGAATGTTTTACTACTTATGGACCGTTACTTTTAGTTGATTGTCTTAATTAAGTGAGTTATGTCAATTACAGGCTCTGTGTTCATCTTGCTGTAATATGAAGTTTGTTTTACCTTACCTGGACAATAAGGAAGGTCGAGTTTGCCAAGTCTGCTGCAATGCCCTCTTAAGAGGTATCTTATTGTTATCAGTTCTACATAGAGCATCCAATGTTTATTGTCATATCTAAAAGAATATGGACTCATGATTTGTGGTTCTTGTTTGTGTTTGTTTTGGATATGGTGTTTTTTTTTTTGCTGCTTGTATGATTAAAGTAAAGAAGTACTCTCTAACTCACAGGAGTTTTAGTTAAGGAGTGCATAGCTTGAGGATAATCTTTTTAGTGTATCAACCAGATGTTTCATAGCATTTCTTTGGTCAAAGCATCATTTTTGAGGCAAAGTATTGATGATGACTGTAATTTCAGCTCAGGCATTATCAGAAGTGATGGAAAGCCAAGAGGATGATAATCTCAGAAATCATTTTGACAGTGTGCCAGATGATTTACTCATAGAAGATGTTTTAGAAGAACATGAAGACTTACCAGCTGACCAGCAAGAGGTCTCTGAAGGTGCAGAGGCCATAGGAGATGAACTTGATTCCACAGAGTTATCCAGCCCAGGTGAAGACCATACTGTATTTAACCCTTCAACTCCCAAGATCTGATTCAATTCTCCCCTCTAGCTGCTACACATTTCCATTTAAATTAGTTATCAGAACTAGGTGTTAAATCAAGATTACAACTTCTACCTGAAAAGTTTAAGTATTCTCATTACCTGTTTGCTGGATAATATATGGGTATTATAGGAAGAAGTTAGATGTTAATCAATTCTGCGAGTTTAAGGGTTAAATTACTTCTGTCAACATGATCTCCAATTTTTCTGTTGTCACTCATAGAGCACATAATTGTGGTTGACATTTTAAAGTAATACCAGAATTCTGTTGTCTAATGTCTGGCACTCATCTTTAGGAGACGATGTGGCCACAAGACCATCTTCCTCTCCCCCAGTTCTTCCTCCTCTACAAATCCCAGTGCTGCCACCAACAGATGCACCCAGCACTCCATTATCCACACCAGCATCCCCTGCTCTGTCTGATGACAGTGATTGCTTGTTTCGATTGGATGTTGATAATGTGCGGTCATTGTTGCCACAAGATATAACTACACTGCCACCAGTTTTGAAGGTTACAAATGAAGGTGTGTGTAATTCTTGCTAGTGTAATTTGATTGGATGGGAAGGTTGGTCCCTAACCCTTCACTACCTAACATCAGAACTCATATTCTCCTTCCTGTTTTTATGCATTTTGTATGGTACTGATTTTAAGTATTTGTTGAACAATCTAGAGCTTCTTCAGTTGTTGATCATTTCCTTTATTCTCTTGATCAGAATGTCTCATTCAATGGTGATACTGATGATGAAGGAGAAATTAGATATTGGTTGCTTACAAATTATCTTGATGTATGACTACTCAACCTTATTGCCCGATGAAGATTCTTAGTATGTACTAGCTGAAACATGGCAAGCTGCTCAGAAAGTCTCTACTTTGAGAGATAAAATAATGATAATTGCTGCTTAGTAATTATAGTATATCTTATCTGTTTCAGAGATATCAATTCAAGAAAGACCTGATCCTGCGGAAATCATGTATCAACTGAAAGGTACAAACCTTTTTAGTTGACATTGAGTCAAGAAATGACTCAATGTCTTAAATTGACTTAAAAGTTGCTTCTTGTGAAGCAATTGATTTTTGTCTTAGTTTAATGTAAGTGACATTCCTAACAGATCAAACGAGACTTGAAAATTAGTCAGCTAAAAGATTAAGGCTTTTGTATGTTTATTAAACATGTGTTGTAGACAGAACATTCATTGATTTTGAAGCAAATGGGTAAGAAAGCATACCTCCCAAAATAATCTCCTTGGAAACTTGTTTCCTTGTTTTAGCCACTGTAAGAGCTTTTGTAGAACAATATGATTGTTAAACATAGCAGGAACATTCACTTGTTGTGGCAAAATTGAGGAAGAAAGCATGCTGTACCACCCCTAATACATCGGCAGAAATATTGCACAAGATGGCGGCCGCGCTTGCACATTTCATCCATAATGGCGTCCATATTAAAAGCACTAGGTCAGCCTCAAATTTAATGACAGGTCAAGTCGCTTATAAATAATCTCTAGAAGGTCAATAAATCATCAAATAATAAATGTCCAGAGATTTTTTTTTTTTTTATAGGGAAGTCCTCATAATTACTTTCTCCCATGCTGACAATGCTCTTTTGCTAACAGGTCTTCATGAAACTGTTGTATTCCTGCTGAATAAGAACTTGGTTGTCAAAGTCACTTTAGTGAAATGTAAGTGTGAATTGTTACAATAAATAAACCAGGTGAAGTGTTAGAAGATACTGTTAGATATCAGTTATTGTGTATTCAAGTCAATCAATGTAACAATTTTTCATAACAAAGTAAACTATGTCCACAAAGTTCCAGTAGGTTTTGAAAAGTAGCCATTTACTGTTGGAGAAGCAGTTTCAGTGTACTAAACTCTAGGTTGAGAGGTCTGGTTTGGAGACCTGTCTGGGTCAATGTGTGATGTTATTGGGAAAGACACTTTGCTCTCACAGTGCTTCTCTCCAACAAGGAGTATAAATGGGTGCTGGCTAACTGTCAGGAAAGCTTGATGAAATGCTGGGGGGGGGGGGGGATGCTGGACTAACATCCCATTCAGGGGGTAGTAGTAATACTCCTAGTCACTTCATGCTGAGGAAACTTGGATAAGCTGTGGCTGGGTGAGGCACTAGGTGCAAATACAGACTTATTTACAATGCTTGAAAGCAATCTGTTATTCAGCTTGTAAAGATTAATCTGTGGGATAGCATTAATCAAAGGGCCTTGAATTTCAAGAGCACTAAGGACTAAGGATCCTTGTTCACTTTTCTTCATTTCTTCTAGTGAGCTGTTGTGTGAAACGCAAATGTTGGTGTTTTGTTACTGAAGGAATGGGGGCAGCTAACCAAGAAGAAATGGTAAAGCTGTTGCTTAAGTTATACTTGTGTCTCAAGTGTTGAAGTACTGTATCTTATCTGTTAATGGTTATAAAAAGGGTCAAAAAATTTTGAGTTTAGTTACTGATTGCAGAGAGATATAAAAAAATTACTGTTAGTCAAAAATTATTGTCATTGTTAGTTAGATTATTGTATTCAATGTTTTCAGGTGGTCCTGTTGGAGTGTCATCGTAAAGAGACAATGCTTCCAAAGGATGTCCTTTCACACTTCAATACAGCCTTTGCATATGCAAAACAAGGTAGGATCTTGATTCCTCTTCATTAATGAGAATAGCAATAATTGTTGGCAGTATTTCTTGGAACTAAGATTTCTTTCAATTGCTGTTAGGTCACACTGTGTCTGAACTTGGCTACACAATTTTTGGTCAACCATTTCTTGGCAGTAGTGACAATGCAGGCTTTCTATATATAAAACCATCATTTCAGGTATGCTTTGAAATTGAAAGCCTTGGTTCTGAGACTTTTTTTCTAGTAAGTGTATTTCGATTAAAGAAAAAAATTGAAGGGATGTGAAGAATGAAACTCTGAATGGCATTTGATGCTGCAATATCTTCTCTCTGGGTTACACATGAGAACACAAAACTCAATTAAACATCCCAGGGAAGATTACTTATGGCAATATTAGCTTTTTGCTTTCCCAAATTCAGTTAGCTAAAAATTCCTCTGAACTCAAACTTACATGCTTTTTTTTTTTTCAAAGTGCATTTTCAATTATTTTCTATCAAAAAACCCAAACTTTGTTTTAACAGTTTGAGTGGGAAGGTTCTCTTTATTAACAATAACGATATATACACATGTTAGTGTGAGGAATGTTTGATATTTTTTTTTAAATGTAATCAAATCTTTTCAGTGTTTGAAGAACATCCCTGTTCCTTCCACTCCTTATGTCATAGGAGTGTTAATAAAACGCCTGGAATCACCATGGGCCCAACTGTTTCCTTTAAGGCTGCAGCTAAGACTTGGAGCAGAGTTTAGATGTAAGTGGGAATTTGTTTAGTCATAATGAAATCATGCTTTCATCAGAGCTTCTTTAGTTTACAACCATTTCCTTTATTAATGTGACCTGAATGTGTGATTCTGGGGTAATAGTGGACAACAAAATTAGATGCTTCTGAGACTTGTTTTTGTTGATTTTAGATTATCCCTGTCCATTATTCAGTTCAAGAAGCAGATCAACAGTATATGGTGAAGTTGGACATACAATCATGAATCTGTTAGCAGTATGTGGTCATTGTTCTTTTTAATGTAC